AGACAAAGCGATACCCCTGCCTGTTTTAACAGGTCAAGGCCAATTATGGCAACGAAGGAGGACAAATCTGGTAATATGAAGAACGTGGCCTTCAAGTTGAATAGGGAGACAAAGCACTTCCTAGTGATGGTGGTGACGCCATAGATAGAATGTATCGTAAATGGCGATTCTACCGGGCGGATGCCTTTCAATCCTTCGTATGGACGGATGAAATTTTTTGATGCGCCCGTATCTACCAAAAGCTTCATATCTACTCCTGCTACTCTTCGTCTGATGACGGGTAGCAGGGATTTTCCCCTAAAAAATTAATAACGTCTGAATCATATTCATGAATGGCGTCGTCATTGATTTCCTGGACCGCGCCTGAGGCTGCGGCGGTGTATTTGCCCTCGGTTTCGCCCTCTCTCTGCGCAATGTTGTTAACTCTCTGCCTCTTGTGCGGGCCAGATCGATCGGACACGGCCGGTTTCCTGTTTTGGTAGGACGGCGCTTGAGATGGCTTGAACATCCTGGACAGCGAAGGGTCGATGTCCATGGGCTCGGGAGTATTCTCATGAGGCCTATCACCGCGTGGAGCAGAGTGGACCTGAACTTTGTGCTGCTTTGTGAAATACGGATTCTTGCTAGCACCTGTTTGCGAATTGTTTTGAGGAGTGTGCTGTTGGCGCTCCTGCGTCCTTGGATATTGTTTCTTTTCTTTATCCTCCTGGCTTCATGCAAACGAAGCCGCGAAAAAATACCTCTCGTGGTTTGCCTCCACTTCTTGGGCCAAAGCAAGCGCTGTTGGCATGTCCTTCGGCTTTGCCGAGAAGAGGACATCTGTGGGGCCGCGTTTTAATCCCGAGATGAATACTCGAAGGGCATCATCCCGGAATTTTTCGCATAAGACCCTTGCCGCCGAGGCGTCGTGCGACATGGTGGCTTTGTTTGTGAGGAGGGTCAATTTTTTCTCGACCTCATCATAATATTGTAGCAGAGAGAGATTTCCCTGCCTGAGGGTGCCCATCTCTTGTTCTATGACATGCATCGGTCGCTTGTCACTGTATGTGAAATCGAGGCGATTTATAATCGCATCAAAATTCAATACAGTGCCAAACGAAGATAGCACGGCATCAGCAGGGCCCCTAATTTTGCTCCTAATAATAATTACCGCCTGGTAATGGCGTGAGCTATTTACATAATTTCTAAATATATAATACGCAGCTACTGCCGCTTGCCGCCAAGAGACATAAGTCTCTTGTGCCCCCGTAAATTCGGGAAGGCATTTAACGGCGTCTAAGGGCTCGTTGCATTGAACACTGCCTGAGATGTCAATCGGTTCATAAACTTTAATCTGGGGGGTTTCCATCTAGGCGGGTGATATCCGCGCCTCTGCCACCTGCCTAGCTAAGTTCTCTATAGTTCGGCGCATTTCATTCTCCCTGCGCTGGCCCTCGCCAGCCTTTTCTATTAGGGCATTGGCGATAGCCGCCTGGATGACAGCCTGGAGCTGATCCGCGTTTATGGACATTTTTGTATTGGGAGCGGCACTGGTAGCCGCCTGCCTCGGTGTAGAAGTAATTAGAAGTCTCTCAGAGTCTGACTCTGAGTCGCTATTTTGTTTGGTATCCCTATAATCTAGGAATGACATGGACAGCAATGTTAAATTCCATCTACCAAGAGTTGCATGCCTAAGCAGCTTTACATAAACACAATTGTACAGCAAAGGGGCCGTGGCAGCTGGGCTGCCGCTATGGTAAACAAAGAAGCGAAGCTAACAGAGCCGAAATGTGAATGCGCGGTGTCGGGTTCGCGTACCGGCGCGGAGTGGGGAAGCAGTAAAAAAACAAAAAAAACCCCAAGATTGTTGCAAAGCTAATACAGAGAATTTTAAGTATAAGCAAAAAACACAACGACACAAAAGGGCTAAATTAAATTAAATATAGTATTAAATATCTCGGCCTCGGCGCAAGAGCGCCGCTGGGAAATAAATAAATTATTAATTTATTTAAATAATTTTATTGGCGACATAGCTGTCACATCCAATTGTGGGGATGTGACAGCTCTGTCGCCAATAAAATTATTTAAATAAATTAATAATTTATTTATTTCCCAGCGGCGCTCTTGCGCCGAGGCCGAGATATTTAATACTATATTTATATTTTATGTGTCTGATATATTTATATTTTTTTTAGCAATTAAAAATGCAAACAACACACAGAAGCAAATATAATAATAACGCATATAATTTCACAATTTAAAATTCCACAATGTCATCAAATAATGAGTATGTTAATTAATATTGTATTTATTTTTTTAAATTAACACCAAACAAATTATGGAAGCGGAGCTGCAGAAAGTATTCTGGCAGTGATTTACTTGTTTTATTTATTCGAGCTGCAGAAGAATATTCTGGCCGCGATTTATTTCTTTTATTTATTATAAGTTACACACAAATGCAGATGCCGGGAAGTATAAGGACTGAGGTGCTCACTTACATGATCCCTATTATACCGCTGTGGGTACTTTTGCGTTGAGCGCCAATTAATTATTTAAATATCCCACGGGTCGTCCCTCGCAGTTGCAGCAAGGTTCGTCGCTGTGGTAGTTGGCCGGCTGGACGTAGAATTCTCCAAGATGAATTACGAAGATTATGTTGGAAGGGTTACTGCCCTTCTTTACCTGCTGGCCTAGGGACTCCGACAGTTTTTCAATAATAAGAATTTACCGACGGTTGTCGGAGTATAATTTGTATGAGCGACAGCTCTTTATTCATAAGTCAAATCTAAACTGAAACTTAAAGCTAACAAAAAAGAGACCCATAGCGGCCACTCCAATGGGTAGTCTTAGCCGGCTATGCACGAGCTTCCGGCCAGACGCTGTGTCAGCAATTGGCCGGAGTGAGCCTTCGGACGATCGGTCATTGCCGTCGCCTGGTTAACTTAGTTAACTTATATGCTTACATACATAAACACATACGCCAGAGTTTGACTCAGACCTCCAATTTGGCTAACTAGATTTGATTTGCATAGTTCTTGGGATATAGTTCGGTATTGACAAATGACATCGCAATTTCCTTTAATAGAAATCCTTATCGAGAATTAACGTTGACTCTGTTGAGCACCTTGGCAAGCTGTTCCAAAGTCATCCGTTAGATGGCGCCATGAAAGGCGGAAATGTAGGCGCTAGCCAGGCTTAAGCGTTTAATGGGTTTTTGGGCGTTAGAGTGGGCGTGGCAAACTTTTATTAGGCCAATCGATAGGTATTGACGAAACAAATACATATCAATTAAAATGTTCATAATAGCATCAGAACTGTGGCCACAGCTTGTGTCTTGTGGGCCTCAGAGGGGGCGTGGCACCATTTTGAAACAAACTTGCGCTGCGTAGGAGCTCCTAAAATCTACATGCAAAATGCCAATCTTCTAGCTTTTATAGTTTCCGAGATCTCAGCTTTCATACGGACAGACAGACAGACGGACGGACAGACGGACGGACAGACGGACAGACAGACGGACAGACAGACGGACAGACAGACGGACAGACAGACGGACAGACAGACGGACAGACAGACGGACAGACAGACGGACAGACAGACGGACAGACAGACGGACAGACAGACGGACAAACAGACGGACAGACAGACGGACAGACAGACGGACAGACAGACGGACAGACAGACGGACAGACAGACGGACAGACAGGCGGACAGACAGACGGACAGACAGACGGACAGACGGACATGGCTAGATCGACTCGGCTAGTGATCCTGAACAAGAATATATATACTTTATAGGGTCGGAAACGCTTCCATCTACCTGTTACATACTTTTGCACGAATACAATATACCCTTTTACTCTACGAGTAACGGGTATAACTAGTATTAATCTCCACGTCCGACGATGCAGACGTGTACAATTATGAATAATTTTAAATTTTATTTTTCATTGTCTAAATTTATGTTATTATTATGTGTTTATATTGTTTATAGTTGCCCTGAAGACGGTTGCCGAAGTGAACAAGTAAATAAAATTTTTAAGCTTTTGTTTTGAAACATTTTTCAATTATTGACCTCGAGCCGGAAAAACTTCAAAATAAAATAATCATCAAAGGTCGCTAACAAACTAATAAAATATATTTATTGCAGAGACTAGGGAATACTTTGTGAAGGTCTTAGATGTGGACCCTGCTGACCTGGAACCCTCGTCAGCGAAATTCAACGCTCAGTCAGCTCTTCGTCCCATGCAAAGCGCGCAAAGGTGGACCACAAGTCCGAGCTTGTGGAGATAGCGCTCGAAAAAGGCTGGATGTTATTTAATTGATCTTGGCTTTCTGCCTTGACATTAAAAATAAAATGAAATTTGAAATATAATAAAACTAAAAACAAACATATTTCTTTTTAATGAACTTGATTTGATACCATTTAGACAATATTGGGCATTAGCTGTTCATATTTTTTTGGTGGCTGACAGACATATTAATCCGATTTGGTTATTCACGTAGATCACTTGCAGTCTGTTACCAAGTATCAGTTCTAGTGATGTTGTGCTAATGTTAAATGTTGTGCAAAATGCAACGGGCTAAAATGATGAGCCACAGCTGTTCAGCTCAGCTGTTATCGGATGGTGGATGTGCTCTGCGGGAATACGAGTTTCACATTTGTTAAAAATCCCAACCGTTTCGAACGGATGGACTCTATGGGAAGAGGGCATTATTTAGCCGATATGTGTTATTATTAGACTATTTGTACTTGCAGGTCTTGTCACCAAGAACTTGTCCTTTTTCGGTAATTATCATACTTTCTATAATAATATTTCAGTCGTAATATTTCAATTGATTAAAATTGAAAAATCTGCTGTTGCCGGATGTTCTTGGATGTTAGATGGGAACAGAAGTTTCACTTCTGTCAAAATCCCAGCCGTTCCGCTGGGGTGTGCTCTGTGGGATTTCGGTATTAAATAAAGAAACTTAAACTCGATAGTGGAACGTATGTCTGATCGATTCCACCGTGATAAGTTTGCCCAGCTCTAGCGTTAATAGTGTACACACAATGTTTTAGCGTTGCTTCGTGAATTTTAAATAAAAACAATTTGTTTACGCTGATTAAACAGTTGTCAAAATGTGGAACAAACGGTCGCTAAAAATCGGAAGTTCGCAATGACCAATTTTAATATTAATTTATTGCTTTAATGCAACTAACTTAGTGCTTCAGATAAAAAGAGGTGCTAGATGTTTTACAATATTTTTGGAAAAGCAAATTTGTTTAGGGACTGATAATGTAATTCTTTGAAATGCGCCGGAGAATTGATGCTCTAAAACCACTAAAAGTTGATCGGAAAATTAAACCTAAAAATAATAATAATAAATATGCTGCGAAAAGACTTGTATTGTGCTTACTTATTAAACATATTTTATGGACTGAGTATTATCACCATATTCAGTTGGCGACATCATTTCGTAACCTGCGTAAAAGAAATACCGGCGCAGGTCTCGTTTTCATCAAATGACATTGTCGCCCAGTTTAACCTGCCTTCAACATCAGCTCCATCAACAGCACATAACAATGGAAATCGCTCGAAAGGAATATATAATATAGAAACTGGTGGTGACTATCCATCTAAAAATTATTTTACACATCTCAGTTTTGATTTTATGCACAATGTCTTGTTTGCGGGTGCAACAAATAAATTACTTAAACTTAACGAAAACCTTCGTGTGCTGTCTGAGGCTGTTACTGGACCCTTAAATGATTCACCACAATGCCATGCCGGAGGATGTCCGGACGATATAGAGACAACTTTGGTCAACAATTACAATAAAATTCTGGTAGTAAGCTACGCTCACGATGGCATTCTTATATCGTGTGGTAGCATTCGTCAAGGTAAAATTCTAGATACGTACAAATAATGATTTAAAATTTTAATTCCTGAAAAAATATCAATTTGGATAAGACAGCTATTTTAATTAATGTTTGCGCTAACGAGAAACAAGGTTAGCTTCGATAAGACAAAGTTTATATACCCAGGTCTTAAAAAAATGGATAAGTCATATATATACTTTAATTAGAAATGGATTTGAAAGATTAGAAGCCCGATATTTCTAAAATTTAAAAACTTGGGTCTAAAAAACCACGCAGTTTGATTTTTATACCCTTGCATGCGTTCAAAACTTAGCAACGGAGTAAAAGTATGATTTCCGACCATATAAATTCGAACACTACTTTCCTATTTATGTTGTATATAAGTCAGAACGGGACGGATAAGTAGACTATATTATATATACATCTCTCATAGAGCCGAACAATCGGGAAAAATAATTACAATTTTTTATTTTTAAAATATCGTCCGACTATGTGATACGATCGAAAACTTCATTGGTAAATCGACATAAAATCATTTTTTTTAACATATTCATACGTATACAAACTTATAATATATATAAATGCATAGGGTATATCGAACAAAAACTCGTCTTATCGAGGTGTCGGTTCGTTGATACCTTCAACATACAAAATTACTGATATCAAAATTTTGTAAAGAAAAAGGATAGACCATTTAACTTTTATCCTCCCAAGAGTTTAAGCTCTTTGTCCGCATCAATAATGAAATCTTAAAAGTGTATTTTATTTTGGTCACAAATTTTTGATATCAGAAAAATTGTACGCTGAAGGTGTCACGACTTTTTATTACCTCCTTAAGAGGTTTTTTTTTTAAATAAGAAGTTTTGGTTTTAAGTACAGTTAAAGTATATCTTATACCTGAACAAGCTTAACCCAATGCATCACCAATTTCTTTGGTGCATTACACAGTGGTCGGAGTTCTTTAGGGAGGGCGATCAAAAATACTTATAGTTAAGGTAGAGACTGAAAACATTGCACAACATATTAGTGTAAAGTGATATAACAAAATATTAGGCAGATCAGATATCATATAGCCTTATATACCTTTATAATCCATCGGTATACAAATGATTGGTTGTATAAAATACCCTGGTAAAGTTTAATCAAAATAAAGATACTATATAATAATTGCAACAAAAATACTTTCTGCAAATATGTATATTTGTCCCAAAACATACGTTTTTTTTTTTATAACTTTGATTTTATTTATTAAATGTTCTCTTAATTTTGAGACTTAACAATAAGTTTACGAGTCTTAACATTAAAATTTAACTAACAGTATATTAAGACTGCATTCTGGTTGCGCGTCCCTCAAGTCGGTCGCTGGGTGGGTATGTCATTGCGACGAAGATGTGATTAGTTGCTCAACCTTGTAAGACCTATCGCCAGATGGTTAGGGTGCACGATAGCTTGGTAAAGTACTTTTCCTTCCGTTCTGCGATCACTTCTTTGACTGGTAGCATGTAAGGGGACTGGCTTTTAGCTATAGGTGTGTTATTTTGGCTTAAATGTGCCGGCGCCATGTGAGTCTTCTGTCGAGGTGTACTCCTAGATATGTCACTTCGCTTGCTTGCGGGAGTAGAGTGTGGTTTAACATGATCGGCATTTTTGTTCGTTCACTTTAATTCGCCAATCTGATCGATTAGATGAAGAGCTAGCTGCGCAGTTGCGTGCATCGGGCATTTTGAGCGGCTAAGAATAGCAAACGTCTGCTGTGTAGAGGACATATAATGTTGGCCCAAGCACGCTACCTTGAGGAACTCCAGCTCCAATAGTAAAATCGTCAGTTATAGCAGTGTTGCAACTCACAGCAAATTTTCTGTCGTAAAAGTAAGAAAGTAAAAGCTTGTGGGTGTTGTAGGGGAGCATTGTCTTGATCTTGTACATTAGACCTTTTAGCCAACTCTATCAAATGCATGAGAGACATCTAAAAATATGTCAGTACAGTACTCTCGTTTTTCGAACGCGTTACGAATTTCTGATGTTATCCGGTTGACCTGCTCAATTGTTCCGTGCTTTTCACGAAACCCAAATTGATGTGACGGAATTACTTTTTGATTTTTGATTATGTTAACGATTTCGTTTCGGCGAAACTCAATTGGTTCATGTTGAATCTGAGCTCATATGGTAAAGTCGTCAAAGTGAGCAGGATTTTTAAGGTGGTTGGCAAACGTGCATCGCTGAGCGCCCAGCCGCCTGTGGGATTTCAAATAGGCATCACATTTTCTTTCGGTGAGCTTAGAGGTGGGTGAGCTCTCCATAGTGAGTGTTTTGTACCAGATGTTGAAAATTGCTCTATGTAGCGTCGGTGGACATATGCTTCTTTTTGCTGTAAAGCTTTAGTGAGTCTAGCAGGCGGCGATCTGTGGAATTGCCACTCTCGACGTAATCGTCGCTTTTCGAGGACGAGCTGTTCGATTTGTAGACGTGTCTTCTTTTGGTTGAAGTCATTTTATTGAACCATTAACATATATAAACAAAAAAGGAGTCAAAGGAGTACAAATTTAATGCAGACTTCGTTGAGTTCAAAATGTGTTTGCATTGCAATTTTCTTAGTCCCGTAATAAAGGGATCTTAGATCCGTATTTGTTGGCTTAACTCAGGAATAAAGCCGCTGTTTTCGATGTTCCGTTGATCAACTTTGATCATTTGTCTTCATAGGTTCCATTTTCAATGCACCAAAGATTTATAAGAAGCGTCAAAAAATTAAAATCCAAAATTTGACTAAGCATATACACACGCGAAAATCAAAGACAAAGCGCAACAGCTCAATGGCCAAAACCATGAATTTAAACCAAGCTAAACGGCGCACAATGGTCCCAAAGTCGTTTTTTTTTGGCATAAAGTCGAAACAACTACTGTTTCTGCCCGGTCCCCTGCCGCTAATAGCCCTGGGGCGTGTCGCTAAACAATTTTTGTGTCCATTTTTGTTGTATGTGTTGTTGTTAGTGCGTTTATTAAGCACTGGTCGAAAGTATGTGAACTTCCGTTCATCCTTTATGATTCCCTAGTTCGTTCTATGCTAGAGTACTGCTTCAGTGTATGGTCTCCACAATATAAGCATTACCAAGATGAATCCGTTCAGAAACAGTTTATTCTGTTTGCATTAGGCAAATCAGGACGCCGACTGCCCTATTTGCGCCTTTTGAATCTGCCTAGAAATCCTTGACGAGGGACCGGGGATTGTATCGACGGACTCGTCGCTTTTTGCCCTTGGAACGACAGTGGCCACCTTTGTCCGTCTCCGCGGCCGTCTCAGTCAACGGATTGATGGGATCCAAATTGTCCAAACGGATTGATGGGTCGACCGCGGCTTCTTGTCGTCTTCCGTGGGCATTCTCTGAATCGAGCTCTGTTGATCAGCGTTTGTCGACTGACCTGAGCAAGAGACTTTTGTAATACATGGCTTCAGAAAGAACAAGCAGACTGACGTAGTTTACACAGCTTTTAGTAAAGCGTTTGATTCAGTAAATCACTCTCTTATTGTATAAAAGCTAGACTTATTAGGGTTTTCATGTAATCTTTTAACATGGATTTCTCATGTACGCAGATGACGTTAAGTTATACCTAGCAGTTTAGACATGCAATTGGACCTAAATGCTTTTCAAACATGGTGTTGTGAAAATCTTGGATTTAAATAGCTCTAAGTGTAAAGTAATGACTTTTTTAGGGTGAACCCACAATATGCCACGTATACGCTGGGGTGTTGTGCGTTGTCTAGAATCACGCATGTTGATGACCTTGGCGTACTTGATCCAAGTCTTATGTTTTGTGACTATGGTAAATAAAGCCAGGGGAGTGCTTGGATTTATTAAAATGTAGTCAAAGGAATTCGATGATCCCTATGTTAAAAAGAATGTTCATTTCACTAGTCTGTCCAATCCTGGAGTACTGTTCAGCAGTTTGGAGTCCTCAGGAATGTGTATATATAGACCGGATAGAGTCTGTGCAAAAGATCTTTTTATTAATTGCTATACGGGGCCTTAACTGGAATGCAAGCCTTATATTACTACCCTACTCTAGTAGACTTCTTCTAATTAAACTACCATTCTTATCAAACCGTAGAACGATGCTTGACTTTTATTTATAAACTTTTTCGCCGTTTAGAGTACTGTGTAATGACTATGATAGACAATACCATGTTATTTGTACTACGACTCTTTGCCAATCCTAAATACATTAATTTTATCTTACTTAGCACAAAATTAGTATTAGTATTAGTTTCGTTTGTATTCTAACTTACTCTGTCCGCTTCTATATTGTCCTTTTTCACTTCTCGCGATCTCGTTTTTCACGCCCAAGCACTGCTTGGTGTCGTAAGAGCCACTTGTTTGCGCTGATCATAATGCATCAAAGTCCGAACGTGAGTTGAATGCTCATTAAAACTTTTTTTGTTGGTGGTGCCTTTTTTCGCGTGTGTGGTCTGATTATTCTATTACTCTTACTTATAAAGTTTAAATACCCTTGCAGCTGTTTCATAAATTAAATATTCTATATTTCGATTTTTATGTGTGTATGCTTTAAAACAATAAAGCTATGTCGTCCAATTTTTATAAAAAAAGCCGTATTGCTGAAATTGAAAAAATTCTATATCTCTAATTATATGGCAATATGTTAAGAAATAAAGAATTTATAATTTTATTCTCTTATTCCCGATTGTTCCTATGGCAGTTATATGATATAGTTGTTTGATTGTTTTAAAACCCAAAACCGTATTTCTGAAATCGCTAAAAAGTACTATATCTCGGAGTGTTAAGAAGCACCGAAGCAGCAATTTTTTTTTTTTTTGCCCGATTGTTCCTATGGGAGCTATATGAGCCGATACAGTTCGTTCCGACTTATGCAACAGATGGAAGACTTTTTAAAAAGTTTTAAAAATGAAGACTAGTTCGCATAGAAACGGACAGACAGACATGGCTAGATCCAGACGCCTGGTGATGCTGATATATACGAGGGCAGTCCGATAAGTACTTAACCTCACCGCCCGATGTCGTCACTATCGCAAGAGAAATTTGCTATCGTGTACTACATTCTCGTAGACGGCTACTGTCGAAATTTCAGCCGAATCGGACTCTTAGTTTTGTTTTGACTGCGTGTGGAATCCGACGTGTCCGCTGATTTTAGAAAAATGGAGAAAGAGCAATATCGGTCTGTGATTCGATTCTTGTTTTTGGAAGGTAAATCGCGCAGCGAAATCAAAGAGCGTTTGGATGCTGTATACGGTGACTCTTCTCCTTCGATGGCGACCGTCAAAAATTGGTTTAACGAGTTTCAACTTGGTCGCACGTCTGTTTTTGATGAGCCACGCCCAGGTGCCCCGAAAACGGCTACCACGGAGGATAACGTGACAAAAATCTACGATCTCGTATTGGCATTGGCAGACCGCCGATTGAAGATGCGCGAGATAGCTTAGACAGTAGGCATGTAAAAAGACCGCGGGGGTCATATCCTGCATGAAATTTTGGGCATGAGAAAGCTGTCGGCGCGATGGGTGCCGCGTTTGCTCACTCCGGACAACAAACGCAACCGTGGGACCACTTTAGAGCAGTGTTTGACGCTGTCCCATCGGCCGGAAAGGTGATTTGGGATTCACAAGGTGTGATCTACATCGACTACCTGGAGAAGGGCAAAACGATCACAGGGATGTACTACGCCGAATTATTGGGCCGATTCGCCGCCGAATTGCAGAAAATACGGCCCCATTTGGCGAAGAAAAAAGTGCTCTTCCATCATGACAACGCAGCGGCTCACACTTCCGCCCTCGCCAAGGCCAAATTGGTCGAATTGGGCTACGAACTGCTACCCCATCCACCATATTCTCCAGATTTGGGCCCATGTGACTTATTTTTGTTTCCAAACTTGAAAAAGTCACTCGCTGGAAAGAAATTTGCGTCGAATGAGGATGTCGTCGCCGCCAGAGAGCCCTGCTTTGCAGACCTCGAGAAAACGTATTTTTCAGACGGGTTAAAGAAGTTGGACCATCGCTGGGTCAAGTGTATCGAACTAAAAGGAGATTATGTTGAGAAATAAATCGCCACTTTTCCAAAATTTTCGTTTTTATTTTGGAGGCTAAGTACTTATCGGACCACCCACGTATATTTACTTTTTAGGGTCGGAAATTACCCTTCACTGTGTTTCAAACTTTTGACTGAAATTATAATACAAATAAGTCAATATAACCTTTTGGACCATATTCAAAAACTTGATTATATTATGATTATGGTTATTATTTTTTTAAATAATAAATATTATATTTTGTTATTGACAGGAGCCTGCGAAATTTACAGCCTGCCACGGTTCCCAGCAACGCCTCAGTTTTTTGCAGTGCCATTGGCTGCTAATGATGAAAATGCATCTACATATGCATTTGTGGGTCCGTCAAGATATTCATGGAAAGAAGAAGATATATTATACGTAGGAACCACATTTACAAACGTTGGTGATTATCGTCATGACGTGCCGGCCATCTCGTCCCGACGCCTTGATGATCTAAACTACGCAGAGTTTTCAATACAGCAATCAATTATTAACATCGATGTTAAATATCGAGACCATTTCCTGGTCGATTACGTTTATGGCTTCAATTCTTCTGAATATGCGTATTTTGTAATTGTTCAAAAAAAATCACATTTGGCAGATGAAGCAGGTTATGTAACCCGTTTGGCTCGTATATGTATAACTGATCCTAATTATGACAGTTACACTGAAATAACTATTCAATGCACGGCAACTGAAAGCAACATCGACTATAACATATTACGTGATGCTAAGGTAACACCAGCCAGCCAAAAATTAGCTCAGAAAATGGGAATCAAAAAAGATGATCACGTATTAGTAACAGTGTTTTCGCCATCAAAAGAGATAAGCGATCAGCCAGAAAGCAGGTCGGCAATGTGTATATATAGCATTAAAGATATTGAAGACATGTTTATTGAAAATATTCACCTGTGCTTTAACGGTACCATAAAAGATAGAAATTTAGGTTATATATCGGGCACCATTAATGATGGCAGATGTCCAATTGTTGGTTCGCTCGGTAACATTTACAACTTTTGCTCTGTAGGACTTAAGATAAGCGGAGTATCCCCTATCACTACCCATGCTCTCTTTCATTTTGATAACGTGTCCATTACATCAGTAACTGCTACTTCAACGACTGATCAACAACATTCCCTAGCTTTTCTTGGGACAGACATGGGAGTTATAAAAAAGGTTCTGTTATCTGGCCAAAGTCCAGGTGAGTACGAAGAAATAGTTGTGGATGCTGGAAATCGTATACTGCCAAATACAATGATGTCGCCAAAAAAGGATTTTCTTTACGTTCTATCTCAACGGAAAATTACTAAACTTAGAATTGAGCACTGTTCTGTTTACACAAATTGTTCAGCTTGCCTTGAGTCTCGTGACCCGTTCTGTGGATGGTGCTCTTTGGAAAAACGGTGCACTGTGCGGTCAACTTGTCAACGAGATACATCAGCATCACGTTGGCTTTCATTGGGAAGTGGTCAGCAATGCATTGAATTTGAATCTATCATCCCAGAAAAAATACCAATCACCGAGCTAACCCACCTCCATTTAATAATTCGAACATTACCAGAACCTTTTAATGCAAAGTACCGATGTGTCTTTGGAAATTCTACACCCATTGATGCCGAAATTCTGGACAATGGACTTGGATGCGCTACGCCCCCACTTGATGAAAGGCCGGTTATACCTACTAATACTGACCACGTGTTGGTTCCATTGTCAGTAAGAAGTTCGGAGACAAATAAGGACTTTGTTTCGAGATATTTTGCATTCTTTGATTGTTCACATCATGGAAATTGTCAAGAATGTGTGCGCAGTTCCTGGGGCTGCAATTGGTGTATTTTTGACAACAAGTGTGTCCACAAATCATTAAAATGTCGTAATATAGAAATCGCTATTAGTGCTGTTGGTCAATGCCCCCATTTGAAAAGGAATCGTCCGGCTATTCTTTTACCAGTGCGAGTGCCAAAAGAAATTCGGTTAGAGATTGAAAACTTACCAAAACCCAAAAGCGCTCATGCAGGGTTTTTGTGCACAATTCATATTGAAGCTGCTCAAATGCTACTGCCTGCGCATATTGAGTCGAACAAAATTGTTGTTTGTGAAAAAACACCCTATTTCTACGAGACTAATACACATGAGTACGAAGCAAAGGTTGTAGTTACTTGGAATTTCCAACACTATGTGGACACAGCAATCGTGACATTGTACAAGTGCGACGTACTAGGCTCTCACAGGGATCATGCTGATTGCAGTTTATGTGTAACTCGTGATCCAAAATACAAATGTGCCTGGTGCAGCAGCTCATGTGTATATAATGAGACTTGTATAACAGACAGAAGTTCTATCAGCGCAGCATCTAAAATGGCTTCAGAAAACGAGTGTCCTTTACCAAGGATCGATATTATTAAACCTTTATCGGGACCTATTGAAGGTGGAACTCTTATTACAATTGAAGGCAGTAATTTGGGTATTCGAGAAGAAGATGTACGTGGTAAAATATTTATCGGAACGGTTCCGTGTGAACTCGTAAATTACCAAATATCTGTGAAGATTGAGTGCCGTACTGGAGCAGCGATGTATGAAATGTCAGCACCAATTAAGGTCGCAAATGATGCTGGGTATACTGAATCAAGTGTACAATTTCATTTTAAGAACGTGCTGTTAACAGGATTATATCCTATGATTGGACCCAGATCGGGGGGAACACAATTGTCATTAATAGGAAAGTTTTTGAACATTGGATCAACTATGCGTGCGTTTTTAGATGAGTATGAGTGCCACATAAATGTTACCCAAGCTTCGTCTTCTCAAGTTAGCTGTACTACATCAGAGGCGACGCAACCAGAACCAATACGGTCACTCCACCTGGTTATTGATGGCGCCAACCGAACATTAGAATGCCAGATCTCGGCTCCAAGCATTACTAACAAAAATCCGACACGGAGTAATTTCGCTTCTTATCAATTCCGAACGCCACCACGGCAGCCCTGTTCTATTTTTAATTATACCCAGGACCCGCGAATAATGCAAATCAAGCCTCTACGCAGTTTTGTTAGTGGTGGTCGCGTTCTGACTGTTCATGGAATATATCTCGACTCAATTCAAAAACCTGAGCTGGAGGTTTTCTTCGACAACGAGCGAGTAAACAAAACGTCTTGCATTGTAATTAACTCAAATCAAATGGAGTGCCCATCTCCTCCTGTTAATCATAAATTTCAAACTTTTAAAAATTCCGACAAAGTTTTTAATTCGGAATTGGAATTTAGAAACTCTTCTCCGACAACTGAAAATGGATTTCAAAATGAAATAATTAGACAAAAGCGAAGAGCGGACTTCGTAGAAAACTTTCACATATACACAACTGGAGGAAGTGCGTCTAGCTATTTCGGCAATAATAATATGGATGTCACAACTTTTGTAAAGGTTCATGAAACTCAACTAAATTTACAACTAAGCTTTGTAATGGATAATGTACAGCTTGTCCGAGACTTAAATAAATATTTTCATGATATAAGAAGCACCATAGTTTATTTAGCGGATCCCAAATATTTGCCATTTCCTAATGACGGGATTAAACTCTATAAGGGTGACAGCTTGGTTATAGAAGGCGAGCTTTTAAATTTGGCAGCTGATGAATACGACGTTAATGTAACCATTGGTACTACTCAATGCAACATTACCAGTTTGGCACTTACACAACTTCTGTGCATTCCACCGGAGCAGCAACCGCTCCCAACTGATGAAAATGGTGTGGATCAATCTACGGATTTACCTCTTGTTGTGGTAAAAGTAGGTCGGAATCTGCGTTTCGTTATAGGATATTTAAAATATGATTTAAATAAACCTTATGTCTTCTCACATGCCTTGTTCGTCGTTATGTTAACGGTAGCAGTTCTTGTCATTGTTCTGGTTATCGTGCTAATAATTTTCAGAAGAAAATCTACACAAGCCGAACGTGAATACAAACGCATTCAGATTCAAATGATTACCTTGGAAAGCAATGTACGTTCTGAGTGTAAACAGGCGTTTGCGGAGCTTCAAACGGACATGACCGATCTCACAGCAGATTTGGAAAGCACTGGCATACCAACGTTAGATCACGTCAATTATATTATGAAAGTGTTTTTTCCCGGTGTATCAGATCACCCAATTTTAAATTCTCCAAAATTTCGCGGAAGTAGCCAACATACTAACTATGATGCTGCTATGATGCAATTTGAACAACTGATTGGTAATAAATATTTTTTACTTATGTTCATTGAAACTTTAGAGGCTCAAAGGTCATCTTTTTCAATACGTGACCGAGTTAACGTCGCTTCATTACTTATGGTTGTTCTAATGAACAAAATGGAATATGCCACGGAAATCTTGAAGTCCCTTTTATTGCGTTTAATTGATAAATCTCTTGCCAGCAAGCATCCTCAGCTAATGCTACGTCGTACTGAAAGCGTAGTTGAAAAAATGTTAACCAACTACCTAGCAATTTGTATGTACGATTACCTAAAGGAGTATGCTGGATCCAATTTATTTTTGCTGTTCAAGGCAATCAAGCATCAAATCGAGAAGGGCTTAGTGGACGCAATAACCAACGATGCTCGTTACTCACTTTCAGAAGAACGGCTTCTGCATGAACAAGTTACCCATTCCGTTGTCATACTGCATATTCTACAAGATGATCTTGATGAAAAGGTCCAATGTCGTGTTAACGATTGGGATACCATTTCTCAAGTCAAGCTGAAAATTCTCGACTCAATTTTTAAAAATACTCCGTTTTCTATGAGACCCTCTGTATACGAAGTGGACTTAGAATGGAGACATGGTCGAGGAGGACATCTCACATTACAGGACGAAGACTTAACCACAAAAACAATTAACGGATGGAAACGGCTCAACACATTGGCTCATTATGGAGTTAAAGAATCTGCTGTAATGTCACTTATAGCGAGACAAAACGATAATTACCATATACCGTATGGTAAAAACCAAAATCCCGCTCCATACCACAATTGTAAGTACTAAACACCAATACACCAATAGACTAATTAACGTAATTATTTTACTTACATTACAGTTTATTTTATTAATAATTCGCAAAGCCATATTATAATTAATAATGACATCGAGTCAGGGTTGCATCAGCCTCGACTTTACCATCTTATCAAGCCTAATTTGCCTGACCATTATATGAACATTAAAAATTCAGCATTATCTGGAGCGTCACCAGCAATGCAATCATCGCATTGCGTTAATAGCTGTAATGAAAGGGTCAACAAAACGATTCCAGAAGTCTACTTAACACGCCTTTTGGCGACTAAAGGAACAATACAAAAATTTGTTGATGATTTCTTCTCAATTATTTTAACCGTTAACGAGGAATTACCACCTGCAGTGAAATGGCTTTTTGATTTACTAGATGAGGCCGCTCGACGTCATGATATTGCTGATACAGATATTGTGCATGCATGGAAATCAAACTGTTTGCCGCTTCGATTCTGGGTTAATTTTATAAAGAATCCAGATTTTATATTTGACGTAAATAAAACTTTTTGTGTGGATTCCTGTTTAAGTGTCATTGCGCAGACTTTTATGGATGCCTGCTCAACATCGGAACACAGACTTGGAAAAGATTCTCCGTCGAATAAGTTGCTTTTTGCAAAAGTGAGTATGAAATTTTAAATGTTTGTTTATATTGTTAGTAATATTTTGGTTACTCGTACGCTCTAATAAATAAATTTAATTTGTGTGATTTTAAAGCCTTAAGGGTCTTAATTTCAGTCAGAAGCTTACAAACCATTTAAGCAGACTCTATATGTATGGCCTAATCAAAAAAAAAATATGTGTTTAAAATATATATGTTGATCAGCATTAACATTAGAATCGAGTTAGAACTGTCCGCCTGTCCATTTGTTTCTAAGGAAACCTTTCTCTCAGTTTAAAGGTTCGATGGTTAGAACAAATATCCAATTATTCTATGATAAATTTTATAAATAGAATTTAAAATCTTACGCGGATTCAATTAGATAAAACGCTTGCGTGATGATTTAGGGGCTAAACAAATTTATTATGGATTTGTGGATGTTTTCATTCCAAACATTCGGATTGTGCGCTCTGTTTGGATCCGTATGTCCACAGTGGCTTGAGAGTGATATAGCAGATCAGGACATCTTAGTTAAGACATGGGAACAATCAAGCGTTTATAGCCCAATGGATTATAATGAATTTACTTTCATTTCCGCCGCCAGGTTAAGTGAGGTGGACGACGAGATACGTTAAATCGCAGACTTTAGGGATCTGCGTTCGATTCAAGGCTTGTGGAAAAAACGATTGTCTTGAATAACACCAGATGATCAGCAAGTTGGGTGCTGTTCGAGTTGGGCATCTCGACCAGCTTAGGATTGCAGTGTCATTGGACAACTTGGTTGTAGGCATATCTGCTGTGTATAGGATTAACTTCAATAGGATAGCTTCAATAATTTATGTTGTTGCACTGCGAAGGCTCTTTTGTAAAAGTAACTTAGTAGTATATTTAGGCAATAGCATTTTGATGAGCCTATCATGCCAGACTGCTTGAATCGAGAAATATTTTTTTTTTTTTTTTTTTAACATTTGCATTTTATTTATTGGATCTTCTCTGAATTGAGACTAACAATAAGTATATAGAATCTTAAATTAAAAAGCTATCTGACAGTCAAGGTGACTGGCGCGAAAATTTAGGGGCTCTAATAACTATTGCTGAGCTGGAAGGTCATTGCGTTGCAATCGGGTCCGGATGGAAGCCCTGGCTAGGCCCCTGGCGAGCTGGTTTGGATGAGAAGTTAGCTTGGTGTGGTAGGACGCTTTTGTTTTGATATTTCATCTTTTACGGGTAGAATGCCAAGATCTCTGTGGATGTTGTCGTTCCGAACATACCAAGGTGCCCCAGTGATAGTTCTCAGGATTTTTGATTGTGCTCGCTGAATAATGTCGATGTTGCTGCTGCTCGCGTTTCCCCACAATTGGGAGCCGTAGGTCCAGACTGGCTTAAGCGTTGAATTGTAGAGCAGGACCTTGAAGTCCAGGCAGAGGGGGAGCGCGCGTTTAAAAGCCAATGGAGACTGTTTGATTTTAGTTTTAGGTGAATTTTCTTAGTTTCGATATGTCTCCGCCATGTAAGTCTCCTGTCTAGGTGGATGCCAAGGTACGTTACATCGTCAGCTTGTGGAAGTGGGGTGTTATTCAGGGTTAGCGGGGGAGACGTTTGTCTGTTAAGAGTAAACGTTATGTGTTTACACTTTTGCGCATTTATTTTTATACGCCAGTCTGATAACCACCTCTCCACTACAACGAGAAGATCAGCTAGTAGTGCTGTTGCCTGAGTTGGGCATTTGGACCGACTTATGATCGCGGTATCGTCTGCGAATGTAGAAGTAGTTAGCCGCTCGTTCGTGGGAATATCTGCGGTGTAGAGGAGAAATAGAGTTGGACCAAGGGCGCTACCTTGGGGAACTCCAGCCTCTATAGCGTAGTCATCGGATGTTGTGGTTTTGCATCTCACGGCGAAGGCTCTGTTGTAAAGGTACGATTCCAGTATCCTGTGAGTGTTTCCTGGCAGGATCGTTCTGATTTTATGGATAAGGCCATCAAGCCAGACTCGGTCGAAAGCCTGTGCAACGTCAAGGAATACCGCACTGCAGTATTCCCGAAGCTCGAATGCAGTCCTTATTTCTGTTGTTAATCTGTTGACTTGCTCTATTGTTCCATGGCTTTCTCGAAAGCCAAATTGATGTGCTGGAATAACGTTGTGCTCTTTCAGATATGGAATGATGCGCGTCAGAAGGCATTTTTCGAACAGTTTTGACAGACACGAGAGTAAACTTATCGGTCTATACCAAGCTGGTATTGTGTGATCTTTCCCTGGCTTTGGGATCATTATGATTACCGATTTTTTCCATTTTTTTGGGAAATAGCCAAGTCGTGTAATCCCGTTGAAGAGTTTACAAATAACCTCAACTGCACAGTTTGGAAGTTCGATTAACATTTTGGGAGTTATTTGATCACCGCCTGGGGCTTTTTTTGGTTTCAATTGCTCGCTGATTACTTTTGCAATTTCATTTGGTTGAAACAGAATTGGCTCCGTCTCAGATTCAATTCGAATTGACGGCGACGGTAGTGCGAATGAGTTAGTTGCAGGGTTTGGCTGAAAAACATTTCGAAGGTGTAAAGCAAATGTACAAGCTCTGTCTTTGTCGCTTCTGGCCCAGCTGCCTGAAGAGTCTCTTATGGGGATTACTGTTTCGGCCGGCGCACTTAGTTTTGGGTGGGCCCTCCACAAGCTTAGTGCTGGTGGGTGAAAGTTTCTCAATGTACTGGCGTTGTGCTTTTTCTTCTTCTTGCCTTAGAGCCCTGGTAAGTCTGCGACCAGCTTCTTTAAGACTTTGTTTTGAGGATGGCGATCTGCTGGTTTGCCAAGCACGTCTCAAACGTCTTTTCTCCAGAACAAGCTGTTCGATTTCATGGTTAGTTTTGTGTTGGTGTGTGTGCACATCCCTCCCTTACGGTGTTGAGACTTTGGCTGCTGCGACGAGTACAGACTCCAGGGCATCGGCGTAGCAGTCGATGTCCTCTTTGATGTTGAGCTGTGAGTTAGTTCAATGTGGGAACTTACGTACTTTTTGAACTTCAGCCAGTTGGTTCGATGCGACGTCAGCCTGAGAGGGTGCTCGATTAATTCCGGGCTTTGAAGAAGAGTTATTAGCACTGGTGAGTGGTCCGATGATAGATCCAAAAGCGATTTTGCAGATATTAGATTGCGAGAGATGTTTTTTGTCACAGCAAAATCAATTAAATCAGGTAGTTTTCTAGGATCTGTAGGCCAGTATGTATGGCTGCCTGGTGAAACGTAGTCCAGTTTGTTGCATGTTTTAATGAGTGCATTATATAGTTGTCTTCCTTTGGGGGTCACAAGGCGGGATCCCCAGTGCGTGTGCTTGGCGTTGTAATCTCCTGCTGCTATGAATCGCTCTCCAAGCGAATTGTAGAAGTCCATGAATTGGTCTTCGGAGACTGTAAAGCGGAGTGGGCAGTAGACAGCGGCAATGGCAAGGTTGCAATTGCCCAACTGTAATTTTATCGATGTAGCTTGCAGATGATTTTTAGCAAACCGTTGGTGAAAGTGGTGTTTGACGCGGTCTCTTATTAAGATTCCAGTGCCGCCATGCGCTTTACCATCTGGATGATCTGTGCCATAGAACGTGTATCCCCGTATTTGAAAGTTATATTTGCTGGTGAGATGCGTTTCTGCCAGCAACATAACGTCGATGTGGTTTTCGTTCAGAAATTGAGTTATTTCAGGTTTATGCCGTGAAACACCGTTGGCGTTCCACAGAGTTATTCGAAGGCTAGGCATGGTTTATTTATACTGCTGAGCTGCAAGCATTTGTAGTAAGATATTTTGGTTTTGCATAAGGGTTTGCATGGTGGTTTTCATGAAGGACATAAATTCCATCATATTTTGTTGCAAAGTAATCATGATACATTCCATGTTACTTTGTGGCTGTCCCATGGCCTGCTGGATGTTATCAATTTTCGGCTCTATGTGAGCTGTGCCTGATCTTAGAGCACTGGCGTAAGAAATTCCGTTGGTGGTAATTGAAGGGCCAAATGATGATCTGGCTGCTTTTGTGAAGAAAACTTCCGGTGTCGTTTGTGATCTCATCTAAGTGTTTTGTGTGTTCAGGGAGCGTGCCGTTGTTGCTCGTTGCATCCGACTTTTCATCGCCTTGTAGACTGGACAGCCTCTGTAGTTAGCTGTGTGGTTTCCTTGGCAGTTTACACACTTTTTAGTGAGAGAGTCTTCCTTGTTGGCAGGGCAGGGTTCGGAGCCGTGGCAGTTTCCACAAGCTACACATACTGACCTGAGGGTGCAGTAAGCCCTGGTATGACCGTATTCCTGGCAGTTTGTGCATTGCACTGGTCCGGTCCGTTTGTGCGGCTCTTCCACTGTGATCCTACGGTGCAGAAGGTACTGCAACTTGTAGATCGGGTGCACTGCGTTTTTTTTTCAAAGTTCTGCTGTCTGGCTCCAGCTCGACCTTGAAGAGTGGTTGCGGCTTCTTGTTTTTGTTCATAATGTTTATAACATTTTTTGCGCAAAAACCGTTTTCTTTTAAGGCCTCTGTAATTTCGCAGGGGGTCACATCGGGTTCAATTCCCTTAAGCACAACTTGCAAATTTAATTCTTTTTGGCATCGTTTAAGTACTTCGACACTGCTCGGAAATCGTCTTCGGTTTTGGTTTGGAGTTTAGTTTCGCTTATATTCCCTTTCATAACATGAAAGTTATCTTTTCCGACAAGCTCAACTATTTCGTTGACTAGGGCATTCGAGATCTTCTCCCGAATAAAAATAGGTGGGGGCTTTAGTTTCCTTGGGGCTAATTGTTCAGACTCTGTTTCAGGTTCCGCCAGAATGGAAAATCTGTTTTCATCTAATGGCCCGGGATTTACAGGGCCTTTGTTGGAACGATTTATTTTGGGCTTATTGCCGTCCGAGTTTTTTGGGGGTGTTAGCTTGCGCTTGGAGATATTAATGTAGCGATCCATGCCTGTCTGAATGGCCGAACCCGCTTGCAGAATTGTCACTTCTTCTACCGTAGCTTTGTTTTTGCCGTTTGCACCGATT